TAAAAAAAAATCAGGGAAAAATGGCGCCTCAGATTGCACCACAGATTGCACCACAGAGCATCTAGAATCAAAAATGTTCCCTTTCCAAACTAACATTGTGAAAAAATACGGAGATGGAACATGGTTCTCAACTTTGAGTACATAACAAACTTTGTAAGCACAAAAAAAACAAATTTAAATGGAATTTTCGATGTTTAAAACGTTTTCTAAACGGTGGAAAGTGGCCAGGAATTGCCTCAGATTGAACCACAGAGCATCTAAAATCCCAATTTTTTTCGGGGCCCTTAACCGGGTCCCGGACCCCGGACCCCACGCCGTAAGGGCTTCGCGCTCCACGCTCGCAGGTCCTGCACCCTTCATTACAATTCTAGCCCCCCCCCCCGGCAAATGGCAGTCTCGATCCGCCCCTGATGGCCCACAGCATGCTCAAATACTGACGATTTTGAGGGCATGCAAATCGTGATTTGGCCGGCGTAGGCACTTTCGGACCGATTTACTCTCTGCAACCTATGAAGCGAGGATTTGAAAAATTCCCCCAAACCACTTGTACGGCACGAGGAAGGATGGATGACTCATATTTCATCCAAAAATTGCGAGAAAAAATCTCTGACTGCGATTTCTGGCCTGAAAACAAGCCCTCTGTTTGCGGCTGCCTTGCTGTAGGGAGCCCCCAACGGGAGTTAATTGAGTTTTTGCTCCTTCCAACCCCAAATTACCCCCCCCCCCCCCCCGAAGCCCATCGCCATGTTGAAAAACGATGCCTACACTCCATTGCAAAATAGAGCGCTTTAAGGGCCCCAATTTCATCCAAATTGAACGGAACTACAAGCTCACAGTCCTGTGCACGGCTTCCACCCATATTTTGTTTACAAACCTTCAAGTTCATGGCCCACAGCATGCTCAAATACTGAAGATTTTGAGGGCATGCAAATCGTGATTTGGCCGGCGTAGGCACTTTCAGACCGATTTACTGGTCTGCAACCTATAAAGAAGCGAGGTTTTGAAAAATTCCCCAAAAACCACTTGTACGGCACGAGGAAGGATGGATGACTCATATTTCATCCAAAAATTGCGAGAAAAAAATCCTGTGGCTCTCTATATGCTTCCGTAAGTAACCGTATACTGTTCTTTAAAAAAATGTAAGTTCACTGCCCGTACGCGTACAGCGGGCACTGCCCTTTAAAAAACTTTTAGTGTTTGTAAATTCACTACTCTTTAAAAAAAATTGCAAGTTCACTGCACGTACTACTCTTTAAAATGTTACCTTTCCATATACAACCTTCATTTAGACATTCCTGATTACTTTTACAAAACAAGAAGAGGTAATATCTTCTCCGCACCTTACGTATTGAAAAAAGACATCACGCTTATGACGTTTTTCCTCATTTTGCTGCATGCGTGTACACAGCCAGGCTGGCATGAGGCAATGGCGTCAAAAAGGGCTCATTTAGGGCAAAAAGAGGCATTTTTAGTAGAAGTTGGTAACATATCGGTAGCTATTTTACCAGGGTGCTAAATCCAAAAACGATGGTTACGAAACTGGATTTTTATATATGCCTAATTTGCATAAATCTTTAATACATGTAGTGTTATATATTTGTTCCCATATTTGGGTGTATTTTTTATTATTTTATGTTTTGAAAAGTTTATTTCGGTGATTAGGCTATACTTACCCTTCCTTTACTTCAATAACATATTCAAAAGCATATAGGCCAAAGTGACTGAATAATTATGAGGACATAGAAACAATCAAAAATGGCTGCTATTATACCCTTCGGTTGCGCACATTTACTTATTATAGTATACATGTATTTTATTTTGTTCATTTAGATTCTCTTGACAGGGGGATGTTTTTGCCGCTGCCGAAACTTCCGCTGACATTGTTAGCCATTTGGAAAACGCTCTGTACTTTGCGTGTTTGGAATTATAAAGTCTATTTTGTAGGCAAAAAAGTTCTTTGCGCTTGCGTATTAAAAGGACATTGCGCTTATGACGCTTTCCTCATTATGTTGCATGCGCGTACACGGCCATGAGGCAATGTCGTCACCGGTTTTTACGAAGGGACTGGCTTGTCAAAAATTATACTTCTTTTACAAAATGCCGAGCCGAGGTTTTTTTTTTAATTTGACTTGCTTCTACAACCAAATCGTGTTTAAAGGGATACTGCGTCCTGGTACAGCCCAATTTAGCTACAAAACGCGCTTGGAACAATAAACGCTGTTAATCGGAAAGAACATTTAAGAGTAGTCTATAAACATCCGCACAACTATCCTTTAAAAACTGGGTGTTTTTTTGTGTTATTCCTGTATTAATGCGTGCGAGAACGTAGCGATCCCAAAAAGTCGAGCTGTTTGGGTGCTAATTGAGATTCATTCGTATAGTGTGCGCATTTTGCGGACGTGTAAAAAAACACATTTTGTGCATTGGTGATTGGTCTCCGCTGTTCACGAGCACTGTGCTGTATACGTACGTATATCGTACATTGCCTGAAAACGACAGGAAAAACGTATTCGTACTCCGTCGTGTCCGTCGTAAAAAAAAACACGTTTTTTCCGTCTTTTCTCGGGAACGGTAAGACATTAGGTTGGTTTCCTTTCAACCAGAGGTTTGAAATAGGATACGTAAACAATCCCAAACATGAAATTCTCATTTCAAGACCTAGTTCCCCTTTAATCGTTGTTTTCACGAAGGGACAATCATTTCAATGATCGCTAATTAACCACATGTTAGTCGAATAGTCTATTTAATAGACCGTGGCGAAAAAGGGCTCATTTAGGGCAAAAAGAGGCATTTTTAGTAGAAGTTGGTAACATATCGGTAGCAATTTTACCATGCTGTAAACTCCAAAAATGATGGTTACCAAACTGAAATATATGCCTAATTTGCATAAATCTTTAATACCTGTCGTGTTATATATTTGTTCCCATATTTGGGTGTATTTTTTATTATTTTACGTTTTGAAAAGTTCATTTTGGTGATTCGGCTATACTTACACTTCCCTACTTCAATAACATATTCTAAAGCATATAGGCCTAAGTGACTGAATAATTATGAGGACATAGAAACAATCCAAAATGGCTGCTATTATACCCTAAGGTTGCGCACATTTACTTTTCCTTTATCGAGTAGTCTCGCCAAAACGTCAGTATTGCGATGAGCTAATTCACAAAGTTACTTACTAGTCGTTTACCCTAACTAGACTTACTCCGCTCAGTGTTAGAAAGTTATATTTACAGTAACCCCCGCATGTTTGAGCTTCAGTAATGGCCTTTGCGATGAGGAAAAAGGTCAAAAGCCTTGCTAAAATCCATTATTATGCTGAATCTGTCCACGCCGGTGCGCGGTGGGCGAACTACAACCACCTAACTACCGACTTGATTTCAAATCTAACGAGCCAAGTCCTTCAGGGGTGCACCCCTGTATTAACATTTCCATAGACACGAGTGTTAAATGCCCATACTTCAAAATTCATTTAAAAAATACTCAGAACTCTTACAGGTATCTAAGCTGCACAGAAAATGACGATCAATATCTTTAATTTTCGTTTCTTTTTTTTTTTTGGTGGGTTGACCATTGACTTTTCGAGATATTCTCACCCAAAGAAGACGACCCCTATTTTCCCCAAAGCGGAAAAGCAGCCATCCTGAAAAACAACATTGCACAACATTGCAAAATGGCGCCACTTTCGAGCCCAATTGCACCAAAATGCTCAGAATTGGAAGCCCCAAGTCCGGGCCAGAGGTGCATTGCCATTATCTTTTCAATTCCCCAACTTTATGGCTCTGAAAACTCTCTAATATAGAATATGTTGAGGCTTTAACTTATATTCATGAGCTCGGCGAATGGACTTAGGCCTATTTACCGGTGTGCACCCATAGTTGCGGCCCGTTAAATGTACAGCGCGCCCTCATCACTAGTCTTTTCAGAATCGTGTTGTTTTTGTCGTTCCCAGTGTCTTCACCCTCCAGGATGCAACCAAGTATTAATAGCTCAAACGTCCGTCCGCCAAGCTCATGAATATCTTTTTATACATTCATATTTTCTATGGAGAGTTCCAAGAGCCATGAATTGGGGGATTGAAGACATTATGGCACTGTACCTCTGGCCTGGACTTGAGGCTTCCATTTCTGAGCACTTTGGATGCAATTGTGTCCGAAAGTGGTGCTATTTTAGCCATGTTGTAGAGGCCGAATCCTTTTTCGAAATGGCAAGTTTGCCAGTTTGGGAAATATCGTTCGTTCAGGTGTGGTCTTCTTTGGGTGAGAATTTTTTCCAAAGAGTCATTGGTCAACCCATCAAAAATTGAAACGAAAATGAAAGACATTCTGATTTGCAGCCTGTGAGAGTTCTGAGTATTTTTAAAAGAATTTTGAATTATGATGATTTATCACTGGTATCTAATCAAATTTAGCGAGAAGACCAGTGGTGCACCCCCCCCCCCCAAAAAAAAGTAGTCCGGCTGTTGTTGCATTACAAAACACTGCATTCGAATTGACCAATCAAACGTTTTGTCCTGATTTGGGAATGAAATAACGTCACAATTTAGTAAAGTCGACTCCGGTTTGTCGAGGCGCGAGATCGCATAAATCTGCATGCTTTATAAGACAGGAGTCTGGGCTCCGTGTTTAACCCCCAAAGAGGTTGTTAAAAAAAAAAACCTAATATTTTTTGGTAATTTTTTCCCCCCGTTTTACCTTGGTGATATTTATGTGGTCTATTTTCGAGGAGTATAATAGGGGTGTAGGTGGCGCCACCAACGTCAAAATAGTCCCCCCCCCCCCTCCAAAAAAAATAACTTCTAAAGTTAACTTATAAAAAATGTGAAAAAAACCTTTGTGCGCCACCGCAGAAGACTACTACATAGGCTCGCATCTGCTTCGTAGCTCGCCAAAAAGGAGCAAATTAAAGCTTGAATATTTCCAGGTAATGTAAAAAAAAAAACTAGACTAAAAGCCACATTTCCAAACGAGAGACAGCAAAAGAAAATGTATTGCACAAACTTTCAGTTTTACACATGTAGTCATTTTATTTATACAAATCAACCTATATCATATCCAATTACTATCAGATCAGTGTGTCTTTTTACAATGATTACCTTTCACATGGGCAAATTTTAGATTTCTCTATCAGTGTGCAATAAGCTTGACATTAACTTTATCTCAATAAAACTATGACTTTTATAGCCCTGCCATTTTACAAAATGCCCTCCCCACAAAAAAAATTAAAAATAAAGGACAATGAATGTTGACCCTTACAGTTGTTCCCTGGTAGTATAAGAAGCTATCAAAGTTGGTGTATGATTCTGTGTGTAATACACATTTACTCTTTTAAGAAAAACACACAGGACTTATTACAGTCTTCAAACATAGGCCCTATTGAAAGTTGTATAGTTAGGCAAACAAATCTTAAACCATAAAAGGAATACAGTTTTAAGTTAGGCAAAAGGTTATTAACCATGCACTGATATCAGCATGTAAACAGTTAGGCAGATGCGGGATCAAATCTCAGCAGATGGAACAGAGACAAAACACTGTCTATCAGCTCTGCATAAATTGCAAAACACTGCTTTCAGAATTTTCAAACGCCACATTTTGAAACATATTGACAACATTTTTTTAGTTCTACATGGCAAGTAGCTAGCCCTAATAGTTTGAAATATGTTTAATTTGCCTAGAAACAAGGAAAAATGTTTTTTTTTTCACCCTAACTCCTTACAGTGTGTGAAAAATCATAACAAAAAGAGAATTCAGCGCGATTTTGTATCTACGGGCCCAGTTCCTGAAAGGGAACAAATCCACTTTTAAATTATTTGACCTACCAAACTAGTTGGTGACATTAAGAACATGCGGGTATGTCATAGATAAAGGGCAGAGTTTTGAATTTCAGGGAAATTTTGGGGTAAAATGCAATGACAACGACAAAAACGCAATATGAAAATAAAGATGGCGATCACCGCGCGATGTACCGTGAACGTGCAAGGCGCGCTGAATCGCACGGCTCCAACTGCAAAGTGCGCAGGAAAATCATAATTTCTACCCCAAGAAACTGTTCAAAAATTACAAAAAATGTGTCATTATATTGAAAGAAGTCTGCTCTAGGTTAAAAGGTCATTTTAGAGTAATAAAAAAAAACTAAACAGGGGCCCTTCACTACACGTTCGCCGGATTCAGGACTGTTTAGGTTAGAAAAATAAATGGAATCACTTGTTAAAGTGGCTTTGAATTTTCATAATTCAGACATCAAATCCTAGCATTTCAACACTTCGTTTTGGGTGTTCCTTTTCTCCTCTCACACACAATCACACATCCTGCCTTGCTCAAATCTCATACTCACACAAACCTGGGATATATAGGTACCATTTCTGTAGCCTTTACTCTCCTACTTTTATTTTTCTTCGTCTTGTTTAAAATCTGAAAACTACACTACTATGGAACGCTAACATTTTTCAAAATGATTTGTTGCACTTTGTTCCCTTGTAGGCCCAAACCCTTAATATTTAACGCCCAAACGCATATGCACACATACACTGAAAAAGTTTCATGCAAGTAGCTATCTTGGTCTGGCACAATGAAGATACTGTCCGACCGTCAATATTCTGCTTTTGATACAAGGCTCTAGATTCATAGATTTTAGGCCATTGTCTCAGGAACAGTTCCTTATAGGCTAAGTGACACCGAGTATACTTTTATTTGCTCCAAGCATTCCTAGCCATTAATGACATTAGATCATGTGGTTCTACCAAAGTCAATGACAAAAGCAGAGGTTAACGAATGACCAAAGACTTGGTCAAACCCAGAGGGCCGCTACATAAAATGTTTGAACATAAAATTTACCACAAAAGGGACATCAAATCCAAGACATGCAGCACTTAAAAGCCACAGCCAATACATACACAGAATATTTGGTGATGCCAGTATTGATGAGAATATGTATCATTCCTACCTCCCAATAGCTGCAATCGACCCTTGAATGCATAGCCACCAATGACCTGGAACAATGACACTGGCCAAAAACTGCTTCATGACTGGATTAGCTTGTATTGTACATTGTTTTCTCACTTAAATATAGCCCTTCACCATCTGAAGAATTATGTTGTCCTAGTAACACTCTTGTAATCTGTGTTTGTGAGTACATCTGGGTGAGTTTACTTCAGTAGTGACCATTTCAACTGCTCTCGGGCTGACTGTAGCACCTGAATAGAAATACAATGAGAAGAAAAAAAATATTTGAAAATTAGAAAAATATGGAAAGATTCGCTCTGGAAACCTCAATACTGTTCATCAAGACTACAATGATATAATTGATCAGATTCCTTCATTTGCATTAATTCTTTTAATGGATATACGGGGCATTTCAGGGGCATAATTGGAGCTCAATGGAACTTTTGAAAAGCCAGTGAATAACAAATGTACCTGACCAAATGTGTCAACCTCCAAAGAATGGGTTTGTTTGTTTTTTCATTTAAATCTCAGTTGGTCACCTGGTGAAAATATTTTCATATCGGTCTTGCATGACGTGCAACATACACATGTAGTATAAAATCTGCTCATGGAAAGGCGGCTTCAGAACGGTTCTTTTTTTTCTTCACAGATTCTTGCACTGCCATCTGCTGAAAGTTTTTGTATTCTGCGTAACCCCTGCAATTCCCACAGCACTGAAACAAGTAAATCACCAGGCAGAAATAACAATTAACCCTTTCATTGCAGGGTGTTTTCATTCTTTCTTCTGAGCAGTAAATGTTTTTAAGGCTTGGGCCATAAAAAATAGCAATGCTGCTGAGAGAAGGCCCGTTTTGCAAGCCCAATTGACAATTGCTTGGGAAGCACGTTTTCTGGGGCTAAAACTGCAAATTTTAAGAGAGCGTGCTTCCATAATCAACATACTTGTACTTAAAAAATATAAATATAAATTTGGGGTTCCTGCAAATATGACATTTTCCCTGACCCTGTTACCTTGGTAGTTTGTAATTTCACACTGAAGTATCATTAAAAATGGCAAACTACTTTTCATTTCTTAGGTAGGCAGTTTGCTATTCATAATCACTCTTGGTTTGGAGGACGACAGCATTAAAGAGTGCATCAGAATGATCAAATCATAGATGTCTGATGTAACAAGGACAGGAAAAAAAACTGGACCCCAAATTTATAAAACGACTTAAGAAAGGGGAAATCATAGCCCACAAATCCCTTGGTCATTACTAAGGGCAAGTCAAAGCAATGTGTACAAACTCGACATAGGAATCATCTAGATTCCAAACTGATATACATGTAGTTTACATTTTTGCATTTAGCTCTCAATTTCAATGATTTCAACATTATTTAATAATCCACATTTTCCTGAATTGCGTACATGTTGAAACAGAACATTCATGAAAACCACGGTCCCACACACTAAACAAGAAGGGCAGAGTGTAGCAGGGCAAGAGGGGGACAGCTTGATACAAGTAGACCCATTCTAATTACTACCACACCCTGATGATCAGCTAAAAAGAATATCAGCAAGCTGGAAAGCTCCAGTGATATTTGGAATAAAAAGCAGCAGCACACAATGTAAGGGAGAAATAATGCAATAGATTAGGGGAGAAAAGCAATTCACATCTTTAAAGCAAGAACTCTGGAATCAGAAACGATGCCACACAAAGAGATGAAACTACTACTGGAGATAACGTAAGTGTGTATGTACTGTTGCGTGACAAAAAGCAGGCAATATTAGAACACAAAGACACTAAGCACATGTTTGTTTAAAAAAAAATTACACCAGACAATTGAGAAAGTGTGATGTGAATTATTGTCAGACATGAAGCTGAATTTGTCAACGATGCTGCAAAGAGAAAAACAATTCAAAAGCTTGATGGAAATTTGATCAACTACTAAATGCAAACAAGCACACTCTAAAAATACAGTGTAAAGCACAGCGTTGTCAAAATGTCCATGATTTTAAAAATCTAATGAATAGTCTGTCTTAACATTTTTAGCATGTCAGTCGGTATCCATCCCTACCAGGTAGATTTATCAACCAATCGTTGGATTCTGAAAGAATCTACTGTGCATTGTACTTTCAAAATTGCATTTTTTTTATCATTTAAATACAAAAGTTATTCACTTTTGAATGAGACATCAAACAAACAAATAGCCACGTTCATTATGGACTTATTACTTCACAAATTTACAATTATTAAGTTCTCGCAGCATAGACTGGTTCCCGCCTCCTGTCAGAATCAATAATATTGGAACCAGGAGCCAGTCTTCTTGCTGGGCGGATCTGTAAGTGTGCAATTAAGCAACCGAAAATAGTTTAAAATTTGTTATTCGAAAATTCGAGAAAAATCAACAAATAATGTAATAGCCTGGACATTACATTAATCATGTCAAAAGTCCATGGATTTTTTGTCCAGCAGCCCATTCCACAGAACAATGCACAACTTTTGCCACATGACAAGTACCGTTATGCCACACAAAGGATTTACACAACATGCAGTATGAGCGATATACATGTACTTGTAAATCACAGAAAGCTGCATAACATGTACATGTATTTCACAGCTTGGACAAGGGCAATGCCAGCTTTTCCAAAGGTACATGCACATATGCATGTGAACAATTTTATAAACTTGAACAACATGGTTCAATTTGAAACACCCTTGTCTCACTTTTTCTGGTAATAAGCAGCAACCCTCAAAATGTTCTCGCTGGTTAATTAACTAGCGTAATGTTACAGTTAAAAGCAATGCTGTCGTTAATAGTGTTCCAGAGTTGTAACGAGTCACTGTTTTTTTGTGACTCGAGTCGAGTCGAGTCATTTTAAAGAAGTGACTTGAGTCTAGTCGAGTCATTAGGTGAAGAAGGTCGAGTCGAGTTGAGTCGAGTCGAGTCACAGAGTGCAGTCTAGTTGAGTCGAGTCAAATCCAGTATTTAGCTCGAGTCAATTCGAGTCACAAACATTTGAACACTATACAATAAATAAACACAAGAGAGAAAGTCATTTTTTGGCTTTTTTGATTTCACATTTGGGCTACTACATGTGGTGACACCACATTTGACTCTTAATGAAAAAAGGGGGTGCCAGCTTATCGCCATTCAACTAATGGGGACACTGATCAAACCATGTAGGGAAAAGGGATACATTTTCAAGGCCCAACACCCAATAATACCTCTGTGAACTGAAAGGCAGTACCAAATTTGAATTTACATCATCCCCATGCAAATTCCATCTTTTGAATAGTTTGGTTATGGTACCCGCTGCTATATCAGATTCGAACCAGCCAGCCGACCCTGACAAGCTCGGTGGTCGAATGGTAAGACATCTGCACTAGTTAGCTAGTTAGCAGGAGGTCGTGGGTTGAGTCCCACCCAAGTATTTTTTTTTTCTCACAATCACTTGGGACAACATGAGTATACAGTGTTTATAATAAAAAATACTTCTGTAAAGGGGGAAACCAATATTGAAAGCACTGTACCTTGAGCAACTTTCGCAATAAGATGTGGTGTAAGTGGAGTACAACATGTCATTTTATGAAATTAAGAAGAAACCACACACACGTCTATCTCCAATGTCACTGCTTCTGTCATTTAAGAAAACCAGCAGGAGCTGCACCAATTGCACGGAAAGTTACAGACTTTCATCCCACCACCAAATATCCTACAAAAGCATTGTTTTGCATGAGTTTGATAGCTTGAATACTGCAAAGCCCAGCCTCTATAGACCAATACGGGAATGCTATCAATGAATTTGGCCTATGTATATCATGAAGGCCCCCTTCAATGGTGAAAGCAATGTGCTACATGTAGCTATTGTTTAGATACACATGTAATCTGTAATGGCACAGTAGCTTTGCAGATAGTTAATGCTTGTGTCATTGAAGGAATGAAGGGGCCATGACGTGCCAGGATTTGTATGTACAAAGTAAATGGAGCTTAATGTACCACATTTGTGAAATAGCTTCTGGTTAAACACATATGGTTGATGATTTTACAGGCTCCGGGATATTTTCTAGCATATATACCAGGGGGGGGGGAGCAAAACCAGTGAAATGCCCATTGTTACCATGGCTGCAACACAACAAACTGAATGATACAGACTTGCAGGTGTGACCTACATCTGTTGCTGCATCAAGACAATGGGACAGGTGAGCTGTTACAAGATGCATGGTATAGGTGTCACGCAAAAAAATACATAAAAAACACTCAAAAGCCCTTTTCACACTAGACAAATCTCGGGGTTGACGCGGGGTTGACGCAGGGTTGACGCAGGGTTGCAAACATGCATCGTTTCACACTTGAAGAATTTCAACCCTGCCTCAACCCTGCCTCAACCCTGCGTCAGCCCCAAGATTGATTTCGCTCCGGGTTGAATTCAACCCTGCTCCAGACCACGGTTGAGACTTTTCAACCCGGGTTGAAAATCTTGCCTGGGTTCAAACAAGTAGTAACTGAGCATGCTACATGTAAGCTTGATTTGCATGAAACAAGTGTGAAACGATGCGGGGTTGAACGCAGGGTTGAAAAATCAAAAACTCAACCCGGGGCGGCACTGGGTTCACCCAGGGTTAAATTCAACCCGGGTTGAGAGGCTCTAGTGTGAAAAGGGCTTCAGTGGTGTTGGAGATCATGACATTCCAGATTAAAGGGCGTGTGGGCTGGCATTTAGTTTACAGATAATCACTTTGAGTAGTTTTCAACCAAAATCCAACCACACTTTGGCAAAAGGTACATACACGTCAGATAGAAGTGAAGCAAAAAAAATGAATGGCTTTTGTAAAATCTAATACTTGTGATTAACCACTCCAGACCATGAAAGATTGCCAATGGGTCTACAGATTTCTTCTTTTCAATCCATTCTGGTACAGAGCCAAGGACTCCTGGGAAAAGTAAACTTTAATTAGCAGAGAAGCTTTCTATATAAACAAAGTCAGGAAAGTCATGTCAGATAAGTTTAGCGTTGGAAATGGACATGCACCACGCAAGGTTAATCAAGGTAAAGGGCTGGAACGGGAACATGCTTAATCACCTCAAATACCTCCAACTCAGATTTGATACAAGGGCCCAATTTAGTGGAGATGCTAATTATAAGACCAGACATTTTCTAAGAATACATGTATATGCGTTTAGCAAAACCAGGTCACGGGCCAAAATGTTATGCCATGTAACCTACTTGCAAGTACATTTGCTAAGATGAATTTGATTAGCAACAGTTTCTGCTAAGCATTGAGCAACTCAATGTAATTGGAACCTGACCATTGAGTTGATTGACTAAGCTAGCAGCACTATATGGACTGATCTATTTAGGTTCCGTCCAATGCACATGTAGGCAACTGTACATGCCTCTCCCATGCCAAACTGCATGTTCCAGCTGGTGCGTTATAAACACATGTGCACGCATGTCAGACTGATGTGCACAGGCATTTATCACTGCTGTGATTGGTCATGGGGCTGGGCGTAATGGTTCAGTGCAGTCTATACACCGATATGATTTGAAATTACAAAGGCAAATCTCAGGTAGCCTTTACTGGGATGCTTCAATGCCTGAATGCCCATACACGTTCATTTTGTATAGCTTTGAACACGTCACTAAAGGGGAGTGCATTGCGTGAAATACAAAAGCGAGATTTGGAGCATCGATCGTGCTAATAGTGAAAGCCTGCCCAGTAATTGCATCAAGCGGGCAACTCGGATTCATCTACTGATGCACAAGTCTGATCATTTAGTGCTTCCAGTACCCAGCAAGGTTTCTTGCTCAACCACATTTGTTTCAATTGCATGTACATGTAGGCCCTCTGAGGTGCGACATTCTATAGGGACCTCATACTGCATAGTTGGGTGTAAACCACTCTTAAGGTATATATGCATGTATGCACATGTACAGCTAAATTCCCATGTCCCTACAGACCTATACGTTAAGACAGGTACATGTATGATAGGAAGAGGCCTACCCATTTCAAATCTGGCATTATTCATATAAGATGTAGCACTGATTCATAGCTATCCATGCAAACATGGAGCTGGTACAATTAAGTGGGCCGCAACAACACCCTAAAATCCAGCATCCCCCTTACAAGCACTGATCTCCCATGGATCTTCCCCATACCAAGAAGAGATAACCAAAAAAGCAGAGTGACAAGCTAACCTGGGCACTGTGGCGTTTCATGCTGACATCTCTCCTACACACACCCATCAGTCATCACTTACATGTATTTCCTACAATCTACTTCGGCCACATAGTCCTACACTCCTCCCTTGGGCAAACCAGCATTTAACAGTTCCACACGTGCATCATAAGAAGTGTTTAGAAGCATGTTAAAACACGCTACTCGGTCTTTACAAATACAAGTTTCCCTCTCTCTTTTTTTTAAGCCACATCAAATCTCTTGAGGCAAATTACAAAAATAGCAAGCTGCATGTACATTGTACAAATGTACAGCGGACTGGCCACACCCGACTCTTGTGTGTCAAGTTTTGCCTAGGTCTTTGACAATCACAAATACATGGTGAAAATGCTGACAATGCACATGGCTTCAGCTCTGGATGCCTGTTTTTGGACAAGGCCTGCCTTTATGCTAGTCTATGTAATTCGCCGTGGTCTATTATGCGCGAACAGATTTGCTGATTAATTAGGCAAGACCCCGCCTCTTGACTTCCTAGATTTTCACCAATCAGCAGGCGCTTTCTATAGGTCTATCGGGTCTTCGGTCATTCACCCGTTGCACGTCATAGACATGGATTTTTTTTAAAAATGTCACGGCGCGCAGCGCTCAGTATCATGTTACGCGAATGCACTCCCGGCTGTTGTCGTATTACAAAACACTGCATTCCAATTGACCAATCACGGCGCGCGGCGCTCGGTATCATGTTACGCGAATGCACTCCCGGCTGTTGTTGTATTACAAAACGTTGCATACAAATTGACCAATCACAGCGTTAGTCCTGATTTTGGGATGAAATGACGTCACGATTTAGTTAAGTCGACTCCGATTGGCTGGCGCGGCTTGCTAAATCTGCATGCTTTGACATATCAGACGTTAGACAGGAGATGGCTCCGTGGATAACAGGTGATACTCAGATTACCTTTATGCCTAAATGTACATCAATTGTAATTGGTGAAAAGTACAAATTGGCGAAAAGAAAAATTAATGTCTTAACCCTAACCACCCCAACTCCATCAAATTCCATCCCCCCATTTCGGTGGATTTCGGGGGACTTGGTCCAGAAGGCCTGGCATGACTAAATATTGATGGAGTATGATGGACTTGGGCCTAATGGCCTGAAGCAGTGCTAGGGATATCCGATTGATTTTGCCTAGCTTCCTGTACTGCTATTGTGATAAAAGCCATGTTTAGCAAGTCCATGAATGTCAACCAGTGTGTCAGTGGTGCATTCCATTATGCCATTATAACATTATATCGGACACACAGTGATTGATGGATTTTGATGGACTTGGTCCAGTTTCCTAGTAAAAGACGCTAGGGAGTTAGGGTTAACCATTGATTACACTGGTGTGGCCACCCACAGCATAATCAATGAAAAAAATGGAGCTTTGGAGAGTTACCGGTAGAGTACGCAAAGCCTTATATGTCTACATGTTTACTCTGTCCTTTTCCAAAGACTGTCAGAAAACTTTAATGCGTCCCATGGTGGGATTTGCACCCAAGACTTCCAGATAACCAGTGCAGCGCCACGCAACCACTCAGCTTTCTGAGGTCAGCTGTCTAAACACATAATCCAACATTTGAAGGGAAAACAGTATTGCATTTTTTTTGGCAAATGTCTCTAAAGTTTTTCTGAATGTTTTAGCAAATATTTTTGAATGAATGATGCACTAGACGGAAACAAGTGAAAATATATTATGAAACTGCATGGTCTGAGGTTAATTCTGCATTAATATGAGAACTGGCAGTTGGTGAGTTAAGTACGCATTATTATTAGTCAACCCTTTACTCCACTTCCTGACTGCAGTTGCCCTCTGGCAGTCAGAATGAGCCATTGTGATCCAGGCAGAAATGGTGACTCAGCGCCCTTCATAATAGAGCCATGTTGAATGTTCCAATTTAGAAGGTTTTCAAGATTAGCGATCAACACAATGTTATAGACAAATCCGACGGCAGCCATTTTCTGAAGTGGCACCAGGCTCACGTGAGTTGCGCTCAGGTAGTACACACGCACTCTGGGCTCCTTCCACCAATAGGCATACCAAAATGCGCGAGCACCTCGTCTTTATGAACGGATGCAGGATGCGCGTGCACTTGACATCACCGCAGTTAAAGCTTCTAAATCTGGTTGTCGGATCCCACTATAATACCGGTGAATGTAAATAGTGCATATGATTTTGCGAGAAAGTGAGAATTATTGTACAAGTACAAGCTGAACTTGTGGAATACATACACAGCTAACAGCGCCAGCAGAGGTTGTAATGTTAGTTACCGTAATACATAAACTGGTACCCATTTTAAGTGGTAACCTTAGATTAAAAACACATAACCACGAGGAAGGTATCTGGATCCACCTGCACTGCAAGTGCATGTTTAGTCTGCAAGTTTTATTATCTGCATATTGTATTTGCTACCGTTGAAAGGCCAAACTAATTTCTTCCCCCAAACTGGCAAGCATTGACAAGACACAAAGAAGACGAAAAATTCATGAGAAAGTCTTGCATGGAAGCTCTGCTACAGAGAAACACACATGAAAATTCAGGTACCTTGTATATGCCGACAGCTACTTGACGCTACATGCTATCATTTAGTCCCTGAAAAACTGTGTGATGAACATGCACAAATTAGGTTAATGATGGAAAAGTCAAACAAAGCATGACAATTTTCACCTCCACTTTCAAGTAAGCATTCCTTCATGTCTGCCATGTTTATAAAGCTGGAATGCTTGTTTGGGGGTTTAAAGAGAAGAGGGAGCAAGATGGGTTGAAACTAATACTACATATACACAAGCATGCCCAACTGCAATAAAAATGTCAAAATTAACAAATACATGTACTGCTGCATATGTAACTCTGTATAATTTTTTGCTACTTGATGATCACATGTACATTGTTCATTGGATAGAAATTCTACCCCACTGAAGGCTGGCTATTGAAGTATATTTAGAAACATTTCTGGTGAAGTACTGAAACAAGCTTTTAGCAGGAAGGTCTAGGAAAGCTGTATTTCTTTTGTGGTTCTTAACAAATTTTCAAAAGTTTGATTTGTCACTATGTTGAAAACAAATTGCAAAAACAACATGCAGATCTATGCTACATGTAACTGAATGTTTTACTGGCATTTTTTTTCTTGTTTAAATTTCTCATAGGGAAAACCCGAAAAGTGGGGTCATCAAAGCAAGACCAAAGTATCTACACATATGTTAATATTGTCAACCTGATTTGGCCCACTTCATTTTTACACATTGCAGACATGTGACTGTTTTTCAGGGAACAATTCATGATTGTTGTTTAATTTTGTGGCATCAAACATTCAATACCGATTAAAAGAGGAGCAATGTACACAAATCAGGGTGAATTTCGTCAGTCCTAAGGAGGCTTTGAATTGACCAATGCATACATGTAGCTATAAAAAACTTCAATTGTAATTTGGGTTCAGTTTTGGTAGGTTGTCTAGACTGGAATTTCTTGGTGTTTTTTTTTTGTAAGTCATCAAATTTTGGTTCATGTATGGAGACATTTCCCACATTAAAATTGTTTGTTTAAAAGCTCTTGAAAATGACAAGTTGGTCATCAACTAGGAAAGACGATCTGGGTACTCGTTTGGTAATAAAATGAGCCATGCCAATAGTATTTTAAGCAGGTGTAATTTGAGGCATTTTACATGCACAAACATCTGTTATCTCCCCCCCCCCCCAAAAAAAAGGCCCACACCCAATGTGAATGGTGTCAGGGCATTCTTAGATCTATACTCATGACAAATGGACCTTCACAATTTTGAAAAAGCCAATTTATGAAGTTTGCTAAGGTAGCCAGAAAATGAACAGACAAAAAAAATGGTGCAAAAACACACTAGTGTGGGAACACCCAGAAGAATAGCAAAAGGTGTGTTTGGGACTAATATGAGAAACCCTGAGACTTACTTGTAGCTTGCTTGTAATGGTCTATACCATGCAAAGGCCAAGGTGGAATGGATTTTTGAGTTGGTGCAGCAAAAGGAAGGATCAAAAGAAATAAAAACAACATTTCAGTAAAATAATGTTAATCAACTGATAAATGAATTGTCAAATCTGGATTAATTGAGTAAGTGCAGAAACCAACATTCACAGGTTAATTCAATCAGAATCAGTAAGAAATAGGCCTATAACAAAAAAATTACAAATGACAATGGAAGAAGTGCAATCAAAATTTTACATGGCAATGTTGAACGGTGAAACTTTTTAACAGTCATAATTCATGTCATAAAAAGCTGATGCCAGTTGAGGTCCTTCAGCAGGTGCTTCCTGGGCAACTTGTAGAAGACCTAAAACTTAAAGGGAATATACAACATTTGCTTTTGCCGTAATTTTTCAGAAATGGATGGATTTGTGCGTTAGTATTTTATAGCAAATAATTATTGTAACACTGACTTGTTTGAAGTTTTAGTTTACTTTTACTTTTTTTTATCTCATGGCATAAAAGGATACAGTTTTAACTTAGAATTTATTATGATTTATACATTTTTTTTAGAATATAAAGATAAGAATAATAACATTTGATTAATACCACCTAGAGATGCAGGGGACCCACAAAAGGCAAAGCTTGTCGAGTGCGAGTCCCCTGAACAAAGTTTTGCATTCGTAGATGCTGGAAAACCAAGAAAAACAAGCATGTTCTTGTAGTCTGGTTCCCTGACCCCGCTTAAGATGAAAAGGAGCAATTTATAGACGTCGGGGAGAAAGGTCAGGGGACCAGTCTAGCGTGCTTGTACCCATTCAAAGATTGCAAACAAAATGCGGACTAACAAAATATGGCAAATAGGGGGCAGTATTTGAAGAAAAAAAAAACTTTTTTTCCAACGCTTGAAATTGATACAAAAATACCACTTTTCTTCAAGTGAAAATGACAACACACCAGGTGCCATAATTTTACAGGATGTCATTCACTAACAGTCCAGTAAGGTATTTCATAATAATTTGGTTGTTTTGTTTTTTGATGTTTGCAAATGTTGTATATTCCCTTTAACATACTTCATTTTTCTAGTCCTAAATGACAAAGTGATGACTGGCAAGAGTAAGTTAAATGCACGCTGCACTGCACAGTGAAAAAAACCTTTGAATTAACTTCACGAGCTTCTACAACACTGACTGACAAATACTGGTTTTAAGAAAAAGTATCGATGTAGCACATTGCTTGCACCAACTCAGATTGTCAGATGATGTTAAACCGAACAAAAACTGATAGCCAGTTTCAAGATAGAAAGAACAACTTTATCACTGAATTCAAAGGCCTTTTTACACTATTGTCTCACCCACCCATGTTGAAATCAACATGGGTCCACTGTACACGTAACTGGGTTATCAAACAGGGCAAGGCATTCACACTATCACCAGTATGTGCAATGGGTCGGCTGTAGATTTGGATTTTATACCCAGGTAGAGCCTCTCAACCCCGTTTTCGACCAGTCTTTTTTATGCATATTTGCACTGAACAAGGCTAACCACTCCAGGTACAGCGTCATAAGAGATATCAAAAGAGTAGGTACTCAGGAAAACTGAACGTAGGAATTAACATTCCTCTTGAAACAGGACAGATCATAGGTTGGAGGAAAACAAGCATTAGGCAAGGAATTCCAAAGAGATGCAGCACTTCGGAAAAAACTATTGGAATATTCTTTTCTAGGATTTTACCTGCGTAAAACATCGGACCCATGTAAAAGCAGTGTTGGATCCTTGCTAGTGTGAAAGAAGGTTCCCAAATCCCCATGCTGGACCCGGGTCCAACACAGAGATTTGACATGTTTGATATTGTGGAAGGCCCTCAAGAAAACCTTCAGTTTTGTTGGGACTTGCTGTAAATCCAGTTGCAGCGACCTCTTTCAGATTCTAACCAGATTTGATGAACACATCCTACAGGGATTACATATTCGTACCTCAGGGACACAAGCCAGAATTAGGTAGAGAAAAAACACCCGCGACTAAACCTTTCATTTCATTCACCCTGTCAATTATTTCATTTGTTTAAGAAGATAAACAGATCCGAAGCAAGTGTGTGAAAGGGCCTAGGACCTTGAAAAAGCATCAATCTAATTACCACACAGCTAGTCACCAACTTCATCTGATTACTGGAAATTTGGACTGCGCAGACAAAGTCGGATGCAGTATTCTGAAATCAATATAGTTGATTCATCATCTTTTTAACACCTTGAAGTAATAGTAAACACCCTTTGCTTCCAATTTACAAATTTAATATGAATATTATATGGCCTTGCACAATTAGGAGTTAACACCTCTAGCCGCGGGGGTGTTAAGCCCCCTTATCCTACCCCTTCCTGATTTCATTATCCGTCTGCACCTTAGCATACCTAAGGTCCCAGTCAACAACCTCAGTGATAACTTCATTACTGCAAATTTGTATTTTCACCCCTGGCTGTAATTTCAGGAACAAAAGGACAAGTCCTTACCTTGAAATCTGCTGAGAGAGATTCAAATTAAAAAGGACATTCTCCAATCCTGACCGGATGAATTTTGTGACACCTTTAAAGTTTCTTCAATCAGCACACTACGTATTATTCTATTATGTATTTTTGGTTACAGTGAGCTTTCAACAATAGCACTTCCGTTTAGACTTACAAATCGACACCTCTGGTGCCAGAATTCTCACCTTTTAAATGTTCTAACTTCCCCTGCCCATTACATTTTCACACCTGTTGGAGACGCCCAGTGCTCGTCACTCAATGCTTGCTTCTGTTGATGCTACTTTGTGGAAGTTTCAAGTTACATTTCATTAATTTTTATCATCAGTCCAAAGAAATAAACCTCAGATTCAACTTTTTTTTTTGTTTCACCATATTTGTACCATCATGACAAATCAAATTTGAAAACAAGGCAATGAAAACAGTAATTTAATTTAAAAATGTAAGCAAATTAAACCTACCTGACGTTAAAAAAACAACTAACCGCCAAAAAAGTTTTGATTTTTTTTCTGATCCAAGGGTTTATTCACCACAACTTGCAAGTACAAATGTATATGTATTTACCTTTCTGACCCCATAAAACTGCTCTAGTTAATCTCACTGATAAAAAGATTGCTGTTACACTTTCCACTTCCAGGTGACTCAAGAAATGTAACAGAGCAAAAGGTTGTTATGATTATCCACATAGGACATGAGCAGGGGTGTATTTGACCCAGGCAAATGTTCAACATTTTACTTGTATGGGCTCCGTGTGCCAACAACAGAGGGTGCGGTTTTTCCACTTTTGAGAGCTCCTTGAACGGGACACACAGCGTGAGCGTACTGTACTGTACTGTGATGTACTGTACTGGTTCGCGTGCGAAGTACGCACAACTTCCTAAATGTGCAAAAGCTGTAGCTATAACCACAGCACAGCGTCTTCGCACAAGCGTCAGGCATCGTCGGCGCGCGAAAACTTTCAAATTTAACTTGCGATGGTCTTCCAGACTAATCCCTGCCCCCAATAACTTTGGATCATTCGAAATACGCAGTGGATGGACCGGGAACCTGTCTAGGTCTCCTCCAACTCTCCTTTTCTGGCCGTTGAAGGAGTACTTGTGCACGGAGCTCATAGATGAAGGGAAATCACCCAAGGGCTCAAATTTCTTACAAGTTGAAAGTGAAAACCACTCTGCAACAACATCTGAATATCATGAAATTTGCTTGTGTTCACATGAAGAAAGGACATCTTCAGAAAAAGAACATCTTTGTAGAAAGGTTTAGGTATGGTGACCCTATCCTAGGGAACTACATACCTCCCATAGGCCAGAAGCATTCCTCTCCCAGACCAATCTTCAATCTTCAACCCCTAGCTTAGCATAGTTGTTTTGCTCCTAATTATTGAATTTTCTCTTTGTAAAACAGTTTTGAGTGGCCATCAGGCCCAAAGTTGCATTAAATACAAACCTACATGTAGGGAATTAAAAAAAATAAAGCCTTAAAGCTGTTGTCTTCATTGCCTCCCCCACCCTCCCCAAATTTGTTGCCAACAAGGTTTAATACCAGCAAGTTTTAGCCAAGATAAAGCACAAATTGTGGTGCCAAATGTGTCAGCTCCCCTGCCCCAAATCTCTAGGGGGCCCAAAGCCTGCACCATCCAGTCTCTCTATGCACAATTTAGAAAGGTTCCAAAACACAAGCTGCGACTTTTTGCTTTTCTTCCCACCTCACGTCCACCAGTCTAATGCTCACGTACCGCGTATCAATTGCAACAAAACCTGTTACCGTTACCCGGGTGTGGATGTATAATCCCTTAAATGACATGCACGTGGTGTGGGCAAATTCGGAGACGCGGCAAGCCAGAAGGAAGATATATTATGCTCATAACAAAAAACAGCCTGTGAAACTGCAAGGTGTATCCTGCCCGCATGAAAAAAGGGGGAACATTAATGGCCCGCTGGTTTCTACTGGCCCTCATGGGGATGGGGTAAAAGAAATCTGTCAACCCTCTACACAATTACTTTGTTTATGACACTTACTTTTGAACTGTGAATGAGGTTTTCATATAATAAATTAATCAGAACAGTACAAAAGGCCTAATCTAAGGGGACATGTCATATTAAGCATGCAGTGTGATGTACGTACATGTACAAATATACTGCTTTAATGGTAACTGCAGACATATGTGTAGATTGCTTGGTGTCAACTTGAATACTAACTTTCAACATATTTTTGCAAGGAACTCTTTTTGATTAAAAATCTAACACTGTGAACTACATGTAACACTGCTTGGTTACAGGATTACATGTTACTTTCATGAAGAATGTATTCTATTGTTTGCAAATGTTGGTCATTTGCACAAGTGTGCCTCCAACATAGGTGAACTTTCCAAACATGAAAGCAAGCGATCTTCCAGAGTCATTTGCTCATGTTTTCCAAGATGGCTGACACAAACACACGTACATGTAATGAACGTCATGTTTTTACCAGGACTGAAATTACCATTTTCTT